CTTCATGTGTTCACATAAACACAACCAGACTATACAGTAAATCAATACTGAACTCTAAATTTGTTACAAATAACTTATTGAGATCAGAATAAGAGTGGCATTCCCAATTTTAAGTTAGCTAAAAACCAGAAGGGAAGATGTTCAATAAGTTTACTATTGAAATTGACCTCTACAGCAATATTGTACAGTGGTGAGAAAGACAGTGATCCTAATTATGATCAGCCTAGGAATGGACCACTGATAGGTGAAATGTGACCTATTATATATCTCAAAAGGATATATCAAACTCATCCATTAAAATTATTAATATTATTCTTTCTTTTATTGAAACAAATAATTGTGAAATAGGAAGAATAAATAATGTGAGTATTGACCTGGGATAATATAATTTTGTAGTAGTACTGAAGTCACTTGACCATTACCCTCTTGTCTAAACACTCCAAATATGATCCCAGCACAGCATTCACTCTGTTGTATATTACATCTTTACTGACTAAGACAAAGGTGCACAACTCTTGTCCTTGTGACCCCTCTAGTTTGATTCTTCCTTAAATCCTTGTACTGTACCTGCTGTCCTGTAATCGAACTAATTTTTCTCTCAATTAGACTATTTGAATACATCACAGAGTCTTAAGCTGTTAATTGTTAAATGAGGCCTTTAAATCCTGCTGGACTGTTATTCTTAAGAAAAAAATACAAGTCCTTTGTACTGAAAAATGTGCACTTAGATTTTGGTCAGGGACTAAATGTAGATGATTTGTATATTCATGAAGGAAGGAAATAGCTTGGAATGCCTTGGTAAATCTTTTGTTTGAATTGTTTTTCTTCTTCCTTTTTCCCGTTCTGTTTTTACAAACTAATTTAAAGATACGTGTAACTGTATGTGTGTTTTCTCTTTTAAATGGTATCATTCCTAATGAACTGGAGGGAAACAGAAATTCTGCCATTACTGGTGAAAAATAGAAAGAGAACTAGACTTCATACTTCCTGGAACATGTCCTCTTCAGCGACTGGCAAAAGCTTATGGTTTACATTTAATTGCATATTTAAAAAAAAACATTAAACCCATTTGGAATTTTGAAAGATTTTGTACACCATCTTTTTTTTTTACTGTTGCTATTTTTTGGCTGTTGTATTTCTCTATTATAAAACAACTGACAAAACATGGTGCCACATTTCAGTTACTTAAATCAAACAAACTCTGCACCGTTTTTCTTGACAGTTCGCATGCTTATACTGTATATTGTGTATACAGTATATTATAATGCAGACTGAGAGATGTATGTTTTAATACATTATCTTATAGACGCTACAGCCAAAGAACTAGAACATTTTCTTAAGAAAGAACAAATACAAACCAACAATAGCTTTATAAAACACAATATTTTATTCAAACACTATGCAATGAGTACAATTATCAAAACCGTTTGTAAAACAACATAAAAACAGGAAATCAAACAACCACAACATACATATTAAATGTAGCTGCACCCTGACGAAGACATCATTACAATCTTTTTCCTCTATTCTATTGCAAATTATTCCCTACTCTCAACTTCCCCTAATGTACAGAAATGAAAACATGTACAAAGGAGGAAGAAAATCTTCCCTGAGTCTGTAATGAAAATACTTTGATGGTGTTTAATGGGCTTTTTGGGTTATTTTGACAATGTGTGTGAAGCAATTTGATGGTTTGTGTCGGAAAGAATATTCGTCCAGTACCTAACAAAAAAGCTTTGATGTACAGTAGAAAATTATTTCGTGTTAGCCACAGTAACTGTACTGTAAGTCATGTTGTGTGCATGCAAACTATGTCTATGCATGATGGAGCATTAAAATGTTTGGTACTTTTAAGAAGATGCTTTATGGAAACAACAAATAAATACCAATAACTTGTGACATTGTCTATAAATGGGAAGGACATTTACAATATATAGCTGGCATCTATATCACCCTGCAACTCACAACTGACAACTTACTGAAGCTAGACAGGTGTGGGCCTGCCCTGTACCTGGATGGGAAAGCTAAGGTTGGTGCTGGAATTGGTGTTATCTGGACCAGTAGGGATTGCTTACTTCGCAGTCTGTGTGGGTCCTAATGTCCCAGTATAGTGAAGGGCACACAGTACTGTAAAAGACGTGCCATCCTTCGGATGAGACATACAGTAAAACCAAGGTCCTGACTCTCTGTGGTCATTAAACCTCTCAAGGCCTTTCTTGAAAACAGCATGGGTGTCAACCCTGGTGTCCTGAACAAATTTCACCCCTTTACCATCATGGCCTCCCAATAATCCACTTTTACGAATTGGCATCATCACTCTGATAGCTGATGTGTGGTGAGCGTACTGTTGTGAAAAGGAATTATTATTATATAGTTATTATTGTATAATAAAATATATCATCATAATAATCATTATTATTATATAGCAGCATTAAGAATAAATTAATCTTCCAATTGAAATACAAAAATATGGTAAAACAGCATCTTTCTTTATGATTAATCTTACAGTACATGAAATTAAACAAATTTACAAAATACAGCTGTTTACATTACTGTCTATTGTACAGAAAAAAATTCATTATTCCTCATGTTTCGCCCCAGAAACATAGGACTTATTTAACTGGATGAAGACAGCAAAAGAAAGAGTTTGCCATTGGCATAGACTAGAAATACATAAATCTACAGAAATTATAATTTATGTTCATGTAAGAAGCTAATGTGATTTTGGGTTAATTAGGAACAAGCTTATTTTGTACAAAAAACCATGGAGTGTATTCAACGTGTTTAGTTGCAGGTTGATGACTCAATAGTGTTTGAAACTGGATTTGAAATAATGGACAGCTGTGCACTCTTCATTTTAGGAGTATTTCCCACAGTAGCTATATATGTAATTCTCTACATTGAAAACAATGCAAAGAAATGTAGTGCTATTGCAAAACTCTGCACTGTAGTGAAATACTGTAGCTAGTGCGGGAAATAGCTAGCTACCAAAAGAATACTATACAAATGCATATGTTTTGTCTTCAATAAAGAAGTCATTTACCAGTGTGTAGTGCTTCTCAAGGAAATGAACCACATTTAAACACAAACTGGAATTGAAGTGTCTCTTCTGTACAGAAATAAGGCTTATATGGAATCTCATTCATATTTTTGAACGCTGTAATCCATCTTTCTAAATTGTTACTATGGCAATTACTTGTCAAATTGATATTTTGAAAGATATGTTAGATAGAAAGATTTTGGCCTTTAGCACAATTATCTACATACATAATTTTTCTCTACATTCCAAGTCCATTATAATGAGCCATTTTATTAACCATATCCTGTTTATAATGAACACATTCTCTTGGATTTGAGCTCTGTGCAGCAGTTGTTCCACATAGGAGAAGGCTACTTAGTTCATAACAATTCCGTAGAAAGATTTCCAGTGTACATTTCTTGTGAAATGTAATTTCAGCAATCCAGGTGAACTGCTCCAGGTGAAACACCATGAAATTTAGGTGAGAAACATACACAGTGTTTTAGAGTGGAATTTGTGAGATTCGTCTCACTCAGGTGGGTGCTGCAGTCCAGTGACAGGAAAATCGGGTGCCCTTCTACATGCGAAGAATTTTGATTGTGGTGAAAAGTGGTACTGTATATGCATTCAAGGAAATGTTAATTAGTGCAAGTGTAATTACAGTAAGTGAGATTGCAGAAGGAGAAATTAAAATGGAAAATGACAAAAGATGGAATATTTATATTTTTCTAGTTTGTAATATTTATTTATTGATTCTTCATTAGATTATGTCTGGTACAATCATCCTGTTGTTTTATGGCTTTACAGTATATTGGACATCTTCATGTCATGTCATGTGTATGAATACAGTAGCATTAGATGTTTTCCTATCTCTAGACATTGTTATATGACTCATCCTCATTCACTGAATATTTGTCCAAGTCAATCACATCCGATGAAAAAAACTCTTTGTGATTCTCCTGCCCTGCAGCTTTCACAGTGTAGATATAGTTACTGTATATAGACATGTAAACTAATCTGCTGGTGCACAATGTCATAACACAGTGCAACAATGTCATATGAGTGTAATCTGTAAATGCCTATAAAGAGATTGTACAATGAGTTTGACCACAAAGAGAGAACCCAGCACAACAGAAATAACCTATTTAGCCTATTAAGCTTGGATCTCCCATCATCTCTAATGTTTAGGCTACATACAGTAAGTATATTACAACATCCCTAGCAACAGAGATGCCACAAAGTGGATGCTGTGGATACAATTCAGATTACGAAAAAAAACCACAGTATATTCTGTCAATCCCCCACATAACACAATTTAACCAAAACACAGAACAAATACTTTACATCTTCTCCCCACATCCGAAGACTTGCATTAAGACTAACGTTAACTAATAACAAACAATTTTAAACATAAAGTAATTAAACTTTTTAAACCTGTTCTTCTTTAAACCAAGCCCCAACCTTACATCCACATTTAATACTTGTTTAACCTTGATTACATTGCTGAAGCTACTCCACGGGAGAGGCACGATTTGAACATCAGGCCTGCGTACACAACACAACAGTATCTTATTGGAAGACCACAGAGCCCCTCTTTGATAGTTTGAACCTGGATGTAATCCCAGTCAGATTACATGGAACGACACTCGATTGCAGTCCATTATTGCATCAATCAGGTAATTGCACATTGAATGAAGGCCTTTACTGCAAAATGTTTAGGCTACATAAATATATTATAACATCCCTAGCAACAGAGATGCAATGAAGTGAATACTGGTAATTCAGATAATGAGCAGAAAGGATCTGAAAATTTGCTTCCTCTCTGCAATGAACCCTGGAAATTCGGGGTTATCATTCTTTTTTTTTTCAGAAGGTCATAAATGCCCAGAGATGCTGTCAAATTACTGAAAAAGGAATTAATAGTAGAAATTGTCTATAAATTATAATATATTATATTGTATGTATAAATTATACTGCATATATTATATATATATATTATAATATACATAATTTTATATATAAATAAACTGGTTTGTATTTTTTTTTTTAATGCCAATGCTGAATTTTGGAGTTAAACGATTTCGGTATAGAACCTGCTTGTTGTAATTATGCGAAGATTTAGCCTCAAATTGATAATCTTCTAGGAAGTGTTAAATTTCTTCAAAGTAGCAAACTGGACAATTGTTTTTAGCCACAAACCTAAAACTATTGTTATTTGTTTGCCTGGAGCATTGTTCCAAGGCGGCTTAAATTTGTACCTTTGAATACATCTTGGCATTTTTTAAAGTAATTTAATATTAATCTTACTGTGCTTTATAACTAATATAATGCATAAGGTGCTTTATAATGACGTTTGTAAATTTTCTCACGTTTATAAATTTGCCTCATCTTCTAACAACCATCTTATCCATCATTTGTGACAAAACATACTGTACCTTTAACATTTTTTCCTGGCACACATTCTTGATCGCGTTTTTTCTTGTATTCCACCACACCTCAGCATTCACTCTTCAGATAACTTCACATTGAGATTCCTCAAATGCCTTAAAGTTAAACAACCTTTATGTCAATGATAACTTGCCTAAAACGATTCCCATCTATTAATTCTCTTGGTTGTTTCGGTGGAGTGAATTTAAAAAAAACGGAGCTCTTTATCTGGAGTCAGAGAGTCTCTTGAAGCTCATGTACAGCGTGCTGACTACCGTAGCCTCTTCAGGCGCTGAGTCCTTCATGTTAGACTGTCTTCTGCAGAGAAAAGACACCAGTTTCTTGGGCAGCTGACCACTGAATAGCAGGTAGATGCAAGGGTTGGCGCAGCTGTTCAGACTGGCTAGCAACATCAGTATTGTAAATGTAGCAGCTGTGTAGATAGAAACAGGGTCAGTGTTAGTACAGTATATATAACAGCTACAGTATTAGAAATCATAACCTTTCTTTTTTTTTACACCACCATCTACCCTTCAATAATAACGCACACGTTTGAATACTTAGTTTTACTATGTATACAGCAGATTTAAAAGCGTATAATGATGACAATATATTAGAATAATAGAATAAAGGGATGTCACCGCGTTAGTAACTATTGGCAGCTCTTGGTTTTACTTTTCTTTGTTTTTCACGTGATTTAGACTGTTTTTCTCAAAGCTCAAGAGCTGTGAAGTTAATTTATTTCGTCTTTCATTTGTGAAATATGTAGTTTGTTTCTAATCCTGTGAATTCTGACCTACAAAGAACGACTGGCAGTGTTTAGAATATGATCTTACTTTCTATGGGTGCGTTCACATCCCAGACAGACCAGAGTTGGACAGTGAAGAATGGAGCCCAGCAGACAATATATGCGACCACAATGACCACTGTCATCTTCACAGTCTTGATTCTGGCTTTAGACACCCCTGTCACGCTGCTTGCCCTGGAGGGGAGGGGGTTAGCAACTGTTGCCTCTCTTCCCTGGTGCGTCTTTATGTAGAGGTTAATCTGGACGGCTCTGCAGATTCTCACCTGACACACTATCACGGTAAGGATAGGTAGTACAAAAATCACAAGAGTTGTCCAAGTCACGTACGTCTTTAGCCCCCAGGGCTGTATGAACTGAGCCCAGCAGTCGAACACTCCCGGTGCGATTTCAAACCGGGAAAAAATGAAGATTTGAGGAATACTGCCAACCAACGCGATAGCCCAAGCAACACATACCGGGACGTTCCAGCGCGTTCTCTTCCTTTGGAAAGTAACCATGGGGTTGCAAATTGCCTGGTAGCGGTCAATGGTCATCGCCACAATCATGTATGTGGACGCAAACATGCCGACAATCTGTAGGTACTTGATGGCCCTGCATAACGCGTCGGGACCGATGAACCTGTCAGTAATGTCCCATATCAGTTGAGGGCATATCTGAAAAAACGCAACCACTAAGTCTGCCAGGCAAAGGTGCAGAACGAAGACTCGCATTCTGGAAACCTGCTTTCGTCTCTTCCAAAGAACCAAGAGAAGCCCGGTGTTTAAAACTGAAGCGCTAAAAAATATTACGGACAAAAGCGCGATTTCAATTTTTGCCAGGCTCTCATTTCTGCCAAGACTCTGGGTTGCTTCCATGTCGACACTGAAATTGCTGATGTTTGGGAAAAACAAAGCCATTCTTCTTCAAAACGAGTTTTGAACTTTAACTCTGTAATATTACAAAAAGTAAAAAAAGAAAACGTGTTAATACTGAGATTAAATTCACCAGCGATGTTCAACAAACTTGACAACGATTTGCAACATTGACTTTTATCTCCAATATCGCGCTTGGGAGTCTCAAACTTTTAAACTATAAAACTACGCGGATCATTTTCATTTTTGAACATTTCTTAACATTAAAGCATTTTTTCACGTTTCTTAAAATTAAGTACAAAAATACAGATTACAAAACACAAAATATAAACCTTAGCAGTGCTCAGACTAGATAGTTAGGCTTTCGCTGCAGAACCAATTATAACAAAGTTGTCTATAAGAAGATACTGTATATATTTCCCAGTCATTTAACTTTTCTTTCAAGTTCTTAAATGATTTTATTTGTAAAAAAAAATTTCAACTTACAACGACTTTCTTTTGTCTTCTTTAAGGGTTAAAGAGGGAAAGGAAACTGGATTTCATTATATTGCTTTGTAAAAAGCGGTGCCTTTGACAGACTACTGCAGCTGTATGTGGGCTTATATTTCAGGAGCGCTTCAGCAGGGAGGAGCTATCCTTCAGCACCACGCTGTTACAAAGAACTCTTTTATTGCAGCGTCCAACATTCATTCTTAATTTGATGGTTGCAAAAAACCAGGACGCAGGACAAGATTTTTAAAGAGACCCATGCAAGGAAGCCGATTGAAACTCGAAGACGTTTCGTTGTAAATGAAGTCTATCGATACTGTATTTTTGTGCGGAACGCATGACTTTTCTGGTTGTGTGAGACATGTCGGCTGTTTTAAGAAGGCTAATGTTCGTAAACACAAATTACTCGAACGATTTTCGATAAGGGGTGCGAGAACATATTTTGAGAACCAGGGGATGCAGGCTGCGGTGAATATCACCACTGTTACAAATTGCTAAGGCCATCACATTATTCAGTGTTAAAATTCGTATGGAAGCTATTTGCGCTTCGCCACTCGGTTTATAAAACGATGTTGTCAACAACCACACTAATTAATAATAATAATAATAATAATAATGACCTGTGCAACAAGCATACTGTACATTCACAGTTGAATATCGGGCATCTCTTCAAACGGTATTAAGTTTTCTATGGTTTCCTTGAAAACTAGTCTTATGAATAGAGCAGGCTTTTAATGATTATACTGGTATAGATGTATTTAGTTCTTACTAAAATGCAAAGGAAATTTATCTGAATTTTCTTAAATAAGACTTGCGGAACTATCGAGATTAAATGAATCGGTCCCAGTGAACTACTGTAACCTCTGTGGTCAGAACTGGTTCATAACAATGTCTTAGTTCTAATAATAACAACAATTCGTACTTTGTTCTAAAGGTTCTGATGTTAATGGGTTGCAGAAAGTTGTTTAAAACGTCTAGATAAAAGTACTAATACTGTATATCACTTAAAGGTTATGAACAATAACCTTCATCTACAAATTATGATAGACACAGACTTGTGTCAGACAAAGCTTGCATACTTTAACTTGTTTAACTGCCATTTCATGAAAGTATGTAATTGTTTCAAAATATAATTCAACCTATAGAAGACCTTAACTGATGATAAGCAAACCACAAGGAACCTAAAGCTACAGCTAAAAATATTTAGGCAAGATGATTATCTTCTGGGGGAAAATGTTTTGAAAATTTCTAATTAAATCATTGCTGTCTCACTTCTAAATACACAGCTTTGTTCTTCTATGTGTATTAATCTTTCAAAAGCTGTTGCCAGAGTAGACCATGAATTAAGCAATAGGGTAGTTGACTGGTTTCAAAAGTGTTTAATGGACAGAATTCAATGCATATATGTTGATTTTACCTGTCTGTACAAAGACAACTCAGTTTTACACTAGGCTCAGTATAAGTTCATTAGTATGAAGATGACACCCATTAATATTTTGGTGCTCCCACCTTCAATTTAGAAAAAGTCCGCAAATGTTTCAATGTTAGATTAGTTTTTTTCACAGGAATTAAATCTCAGAAAATGGAAAATGTATAGATTTAAGCATTATAATTACAAATATCTGGCCTAGTGGCTAGACCTTTTAGTTTTAAAATTCACAGAGAACCTCTAAGAAATCTCATTCTAAGTTTCTGTTTTAAACTTGTGGTTTACTTTTAAAGCAAAAAAAAAAAGGATGGTAACTCACACTTTTCTGTTCAGAGACCAGGTTATGAAGACACACTTTAGATGGATGCTTCATCAAGAAGTAAAGTTCAGAAAGTTCAAGAATGTTACTGTGAGGTGCTAAGGGATTTTATGCTGCTGCCTCATTATTTTTTTGGTCCTGGGTTTGAATCCAGTCTGTGGTGAAATTTGCCAATTATACAATCAGTTTTCCCTGGGTGCTCTGCCTTCCACCCAAATTTCACAGATGTGCTGGCTAGATTAAGTGTAGTCTCAAAATTGGTCCCGTGTGTGTGAATTCTGCAATGGTCTTACCAACTTTTACCTGATCCAATTCTACATTTTTTGAAGCATGCCTCTTTCTGAAAATAACAATGACTGGCTGCAGGACAGGACAGGGCACCAGGCCAAAAAAAAAAAAGTTAAGTAACCGATCCTTTGATACAGAAAGCTATGTGAAACACTGCCCTTGTAATTCCCATTTGCTTGACAGGATTGTGCTGCCGGAATGCTGATGAACTAATGTAGTTTACAACATAAGAGGGATAACAGGAGCAAGGCTTATTCTCACCTTAAAATTAAGCAAATGGACAGGTCAGAAAAATAACTGAAAAATGACACTGCTTTAGCTTTTATTACCTTTGAATACTCTTGGGGGTAAGGCAACAGTGGTTAAAGATCTTGTACGTTCGTGGAAACAAAAAAAATCTGTATTATTGTAACACATGAACAAACCAGGTGCTTCATGGACAGACTTACATTCCATTCACCAGGTTTCACTATATACATTTGTTTATGACATGGACAATCCAAAAAGAAGTTCTCAAATCTTGCAAGCCATTTAAACACACAAAAAAAATTTACTCTAGAATCTGCTAACAACTTTTTTTCATTTCACACTATCATACAGTGAATGATTTTCCTGTATCGTCACGTGAGCAGCTCCTTTAGGCTTTGACTTCCAATATGCACACATGCGTCAGTGGCAGGTCAAGTCAGACAAGAGCAGTTTCCAATTGCTGTCTTAAGTTTGAAGAGGAGCACACAAGGAAAGCTTGCCTGTTCATAATTTCTTGACACTGTTCAGTAGCTCTTCCTTGTTCATTCGATAGTGGCTCTTTTTCCACATTTCCCTCAGTGACTGTATTGTTGTCCCTATCTCCTTGCCCGAAGACATACCCATTTTCCTCAGGTCATGGCCACTGACTGGAAAGCGAGGAATTGACCATTTTTTCATTTCAGCCAACAACTTTCCCTCTCCCTGGTACTTCAGGAGCTCACAGACCTTGCTCTGTGCATCTGGCTCCCTAGACTGGGATTTAAAGACAGCATCATAAATGGAGACAAAAACTCATATCTGACATTACGTGGTTGAGAAATATTGTACATCCTTCTGATTTAGCAAACATACTTAGTACCGCTGTATGAAAACTGTTTGGAAAACCTAAATATATATACTGTAAATGCAAGAAAAAAGCATGAAAAATGCAATAATTTTTCCTAATTATCTACCTATTAAGTCCATCTTCATTACACTAATTGAAGCACTAAAACTAATGAAGTACATGATGGGATACAAATTACTTTTCTTGTTGGTGCTTATTTTAAAAGAAAATCATTAGAATATATCATATATTAAAATCTACACATTAAGTATCATAATTTCTCCAAATATTTTCATATAACTGTTAAAAGATGTAAGCCCTCAAAGGGCAAACCTACATTAAAAGGGCTATTGGGTCAAAACAATGCAACTCATCTGCTACTGTTGTATAGACACTGCTAATGTTGCATTAGAATCAGTTCTTTCATTAACAAGGTCATAACAGCTAAGTGCTAATGTTAAATGGTAAATGTTAAAATTCTAATTTTATCCTCTAGGAACAAATGCTAACATTTGTTTTTTGCTCTACTTCCCACATTTTATTGGAACAGGATATGCTTCTGACTGAAGGCTTTAATTGTTACATCAATATAATTAAAAAGGGGGTAGGCAAACAAAGAGATGAAACTTACATCTATAATGAAGTCTGTGTAAGGCTTCAATTCATCCGATGCCTTCAACAAATCTCTCCTGTACTTCACCAGAAAGAATCCCAGGGTTTTCTCCTCTTTTGAGATCTTTAACCTGAGGTCAAGCCTGTCCACATCATGTGTGTCCCTGAATAGTGCAGACAGGACAGTCATGGGCTTCGGAGACCACCGATGGGCATGATTCCACACTCGGTCCAGCTCTTCTAAATTGCCTTCCACGGGTAACCCTGAAAGAGCAAACCAGCTAAAGCAACACATAGGCAGCAGTGTGTCGTTTAGCAACTGAGGCCTGGACTCTAGGTTTCTTTACTCAGTGTTAAACTAATTTCTTGACACTGTTCAGAGCTAATAAGATGCCTAAGGTCTAATTATAATGTAGTTGGGGAAAAAAAAAAAGTTTTGATGGAAAGTGCAAGATTTGGTAACACATGCTGAGCTCATGATAAAGTATAATGCTCTCGTAATCCAGCATATCCTTATCTACTCAATTTCTTTAGCTGGAAAAGACTGGGACACTAAAGCAATGGCATCAGGGGACACTATCTAACCCTTAACATTTCAAAGGAATAATATTGGAAATGCCAGTTTTGTACGGGGAAGGAGAAAGTAAAAAAATAACAACCAAAAAATTAAATAATTGCTCTCTTTTGGGAAATTCACATCTGGATGTTTCCTAGCACTTAGTGGCCACAAGAAAACTTTCAAATGTACAAAGATATTATGTAAAGAGACAACAAGGAAGTGAAAACTCTAGCAGTGACTCCAAACACTGCGTCTTCTAGTATCTGATCCAGCCAAGTTCTTAATTTTAGATTTATATTTGAGTTATATCTGTAAATTTGCTTTCAGCTTTGAAAAGGTCAAATTTCTGAGCTGTCCTTAAACATGTGTTGCCTAAAATGTAACCACTAAGACACCTAGAGGAGGGAAAAAAAATGCTCACTGTGGGTATGTTTCAGTATCTTTTCCATTTATGTTCATCATCAATTCATCAACTAGTAAGAGCTGTTTAGACAGAAAATACCAGTAACCTGAGGAGAAGCCTGCCACTATTAAGACTATGCTGAAGTCCCTAGAAACAGAAGCTTTGAAGAAATGTATTTTCTGACACTGAGGATTGACCAAAGAAGTCTAAGCAAGAAAGCAGATTTAAATGATCAATTAGTGCAGATAATTTAGAGCCCAGCTGTAATGTTAATAAGCTGACTCGGTGTGTTCCTACAGGACCAGGGTTGGCAACTACTGAAGTAGAGTGAACACTGAGTGGCACAGACACTACTGTACTGGATGATTCCCCTTACCAATGTACTGGGCAACTTCAAGGTCATAAATAAGGAAGAGTAAATGAGCAGCATGGTTGCCCATCAAAGTCTTTTTCAATTCGACCCAAATCCTCTCCCCAGAGATGGCAGCCAGGCCCTTGGCATGCTCTTTTATTGCCTTCAGTGTCTCCGCGTCATGATCTCCAGGCTCCTCTGCCACTTTCCCATAAAATCTGCAGCCGGATAAATCAAGAGACGTCACATGGAATGACGGCCATGAAAATCCTCAGCAAGCTGGCTGTGGTTAATGTTCTATGTGATTAAAGTCAGCACTCACTTTTTTTAGCATTCAAGGCATTAAAATAAAGTAAGCAAAGCCTCCTAACACAGATTTCTTTTAAATAGCTTATCCGTATTTTATATACATTTAAAATCTCATAATTCTATCTTGAGAGGCTTGGCAGTACACTATAGATGTGTATGCCTCCGAGACAAATTGTAATTTTGCACCAACCTGAAATATCGGAGAATTCTTAAGTAATCCTCCTGGATCCTCTGGGATGCATCTCCCACAAACTTGACCTTTCTGTTCTTGAGGTCTTCGTATCCATTAAAGTAATCATACAGGGTTCCATCTAATCCTAGCAAAGTACAACAGAGCCCAAGTTAACAAAGCAGACACCTGAAGCTGGCTTGGCTCAGTGTCTTTTATTGGAAATCAATGGTGTTATTTATCAGACAGAACAAACGTACACACTGAGTTGAAACCAGTGAACAAAAAAAAAAAATTAATGACCTTTCCAGATATTTCTAATGAACTTGGAACATCAGGTTTTCTTTATTTAAACTTGATTTCAATCACTATGATTATGAGGCAAATGGTGAGTAAGAGATAAATGAGAGATACTCTACAGGCAAGGTTGCTACAAATGAGGAGGAGAAGTACCATGCAGCAGGCTTTGATGTAAAAAAGAAAAAAATCCTAGCTATAGACACTACATGCAAACATAATTATTGTAAATATTACAGATTTTATTCATTATCTGGCACTACAATGAAGAAATAGCTTTGGAATAAAACGCTGTTCAAGTGATTAACTCTTCAGATTAAATATTCTGTTGTTGTTGTTTTTCTTTGGACAAAAAGATGTTTGGTCTAAAAAAAACATGTTTGGTCTCAAAAAAACATCTTTTTGGGAGGTTTGCATGTTGAATGGATACAACTAACAGACTAATCAAATAATAAATAGAAAGAGAATGTGTTGTCAACTGGGAAATAGAATGCTGACTATGGCAAGCAGTTGTAATTGGATTCTTCTAATTTCATGAAAAGCAGAAAGTAAATCTAAGCCCAAATAAGACACCAAGAAAACACACTTGTGGTAAAATCAGGCCACAGGTTAGATTTCTCACAAGATTAATCCTCTTTAAATATTTTCACTCTTTCAGCTGGGTAACGCAAGAGCCACTGGTTAGAGATTGCTTTTACATAAAAGGATGACAAACTATAAATCGTGGGTTCTCCAACTGATGTCTGTTATTTAAACAGCTTAATTTGCTCCACTGCAGCCATTTTCCAACAGAAAGCCCTTAAAAGATATTTTAAGCACATTGCTTCTTCAATTAAGGTATCAGTTAGGCAACTAGGCAAAGAGGAAATGGAAAAGCCTTTACCTAAAAACATGGAATTGATGGTGAGGTCCCTGCGCTCTGCATCTTTCTGCCAGTCGGTGGTAAACTCCACCTCTGCATGCCTTCCATCAGTCACAACATCAAGCCGCAACGTGGTTACTTCAAAATTCTGATTGTGCAGCTGGAAAACATAGACGCGCACCTTAACTCTGTTGTAACAGCTGTGCCAATAAGCTTCATGTTGGGAGTGATCCGACTTTAGTTTCAGAGCTCTATCTTTAAAGAAAAGGGTCAGAAATATGTGGGAGCCATTCATCCATTCATTCCATCTTGTTTATTTGGCTCCTACGAGCACATCAACCCCTGAAATCTCAGTCACCTTTTTGAATGATACCAGATTGCCAGTTTTAAAATGTGGGCTAGGCAGTCTATTTCTGACTCCATGCATTTTGCAGAAGGAAGAGCTTTTTGATTTATGTCCTAAATAAATCTGCTCCTCATGTATGCCCATCATGTACAAGTACTATAGTTTATTAATGTGGCTCAACTCTCTGCTGGAATATAACCAATATATGAAGTTATCTTATTAGTATAAGTAGTCTTGCACTAATACTTTGTCTTTATTTATTTTGGCTTGAATCAAGTCCAGTACTTGAAAATAGTTACTTACTGGGCAATCTAAACCATACGCAAACCTTACGGCAGGTCAAATTATGATTCCACAGATTTTACAAAAGAACCTGCACAGTTAAGAGTTCTCCTCAAAAAGGACATTCTTTCTTTCACTTCTTTCTTGAGTCTACAGACTCAAGCTGACAGTTTCTGTGTTAAAAGATCAAACAAAGCTGACCCTTGCTGTTATGGTACCATGCTTCTCTCCATTAGTGTTGATCATTCTGATGCCTGCTGCCTGAAACATGCTTTTCATCTCATCAGGGGTGGCTGTGGTGGCAAAGTCCACATCCTCGGGCTGTTTTCCAGACAAGAGATCTCGCACGGCACCCCCTGCTATTCTCAGCTCATACTTGTTCTTCTCAAACATCTCTGGAGAAACAAGAAAATAGAGAATAGTAAAGCAGACAGCAGTTCATCATGTGAAATACAGGAACATAATTCAGATTAAATCACCAAGAAGACAGGCAACTTTAAAAACACATTATTACATCACTTTTAATAACCCCTTATCCAGTTCAGGGTCACAGTAGCCCAGAGCTGTAGAGCTCAACAGCAAGCAAAGGGCGAAAGACTGGAGGCACCCCAGACAGGATGCCAGTCCACTGCAGGGCACACAAAGACACAAACACACACACACTCACAACAGGGCCAATTTACACAGAAGCCACTTAAAAACCTAACAGTATGTTTTAGAACTGTGGAAACCAGAGCACCCAGAGAACGTGGGGGAGAACACGCAAACGTCAAACACATATCACCCCAGGAACTGAACCCTGGGCAACTGCATTGCAAGCCAGCAATGCTAAAAAACAACTCCACTTTGCTGACCCAAATTTAAAATTAGAATTACTAATCAAAACTTAGCAGCATTACATGAATAGCATACCTGCTATGCCTTTCAGCCCATCTGTGAATAATGACTGAAAGTCTTTTGTTTTCAGCTGCATGGTGAAAAGGCTTCTGTAACTCCAACTCAGAGAAACTCTACCAACTATGGCTGTGCTCAGAATTACTTGCCTCCACATCTAAAAGAAAGGAGAAATTTGGGAGAAAAAATAGTATTCAGCACAAATTTAAAACTGAGTAACGGAAAATCTCCAGAATGATCAAATCATATATTGGCATTCTAGCTGTTCAAGATAAAATGTATGCGACAATGCAATCCAGCTACTTCAACATTTTCTTAAAACAACTATGTTGTCTATACATCCTTAAGGTGTTTAATGGATTCAAAAGAGAGAGAAAGGTTTAAAATATATATAAAATAAATGAAAGCACAGGAGGTTCTTGTGAGGAAGAGTGACAAACCTATAGTTAATCCCTAATTCTGGCAGGTTTTTAATCCAGCTGGTTTCACAACTAAATTGAGCTCATTATTGAATTAATTGATCCAGTGGTTTAATAGCTTTTCCCAGGTCCTGAGCTGCTGGTTCTTTAAAGAGACCTAGAATTTGGAATTAGGATTTGGAATTGGTATATACCCTGTAAAAATGTCTGAGTGTCACAACTGTCATCATTCAAGTATGTTGCCAGAAATGCAGCCAACTGGACCTCTCAGAAGGAATAAATAAAACACTCCATGTGGGTGTCTAATGTAGTGTAATTCATTGCCTGTATTGTTCATTGTCAATTCTAGCAAAAACCATTTAGTTAAATTAAGAATAAGCAAGTTGAGGACAGGCTGTGAAATGTTATGTACAGTGGCTGAAGTTGCTAGAAACCATTTTTGGATACTCAAAACTAACCGAAGAAGTCAAGTTAAATAAACATCTA